ATCATAATATAGTAATAATAATCATATAGTAATAGTAATAGTAATCATATAGTAATCAAAACATCAGTACGACAAGTGATCACTGTAATTGTACAAACACAATAAATAACCACTGTAAAAACACCTTTAACACAGTATAGCTCACAGTATTTTACACAGTATAACCTCACCAGGCAATTGCATAATTCTAATTACGTTCCTTTTTCTTTTCTGATTTAAATTGGTGCGAAAAGAACATCAACAATCCCAAAGAAATACTTCAGTGTTATCTTACACCACAAAGCTTAGTCCTGGAGGACTGTAAACACATCAGAAGGAGCAGGACACTGTTCTGCAATGTACCTACAGAAACATGGTTCTCTAGCAATTAATTCTGCTGACTATCCTGCTTTTCTATCATCGAGAGGACATATAGGACTGACGTGGTTAAAAATCACATTTCGTCACCTTTATTTACCTAGTTCACATGACCACATTCCTGGCTAGGTTGACTATGGTTGTCTAAAGTAAAGGCAGACTCCCCGGTTTCACAGCACATCGCTGTGCTTACCTGCTCTGCACCATGTCCTCGTGGCCTAACTTACTGAGCAAATAGCACTAACAGAGTCTTCTCAAATTTATCATTCATTAAGACCTTTCCCAGACACAGAGTTTCCAGTGGCTAATATATTTATTAACTACTCTGAAAGCACAGAAGTTCTGTAGGAAGTAACATTTTACCCAAGTAGGATTTCTTTTCTATCAAATATTAGAGAACAGGTTCCATGTACGGACAAAGAATTGACTACAGAGCAGTACCTAAGCATGGTTTTGACCAGCAGATTGGAAGATAAAATCACGGGTAGCTGCCAGAATTCATATACTGTAAGAATAAGAAACGCTGAACTCACAGAAGAGGTGTACAATCGCGTGTATTTAACACTTAGTTTTCCTGGAGTACTGAAGTAGCCACAAACCCTGTGAAAGCTCTGAGCAAGAAAGCGGGTAGACCAATAGATTCAGCACAATGTCGATACCAGTACAGCCCGACGGCGATACGGATACCGTCTGATGGAGACGTGACACGGCAGAGAGGACACAGGAGCAGAGCCGTTATTTCTATTCAGAACCTACCCAGGTGGTTCACTCACAATGTTCTGCTGGTGTAACATACACAGCTCCTCACTCGGCATTTTAAACTGTGCACATAAGTAACTTGTATATAAATATGTACTCCCCAAAAAATCTGCTAGAATATTTATAGTTTTCATTCCTCGTCTGTGCTTTTAAAATTCCTACACCATAAGCTTGGAAGAAAGCAAATTAGTCACCAGTAGTACAAAAAAATGATACTTCTGCACTTCTAACATAAATATTTTCATGTATTTAAAAAAAAAAGACAAAATCTCACTTGTCAAAGATTGTAGTTGAATTAGTCCTTCAAAAATGAGTCTGTTCAATCGTATCTTTTTTATTGCAATTGTCTGTTGGGACTACAGTCTGTCAGAGTAACAAGGTAGCAGCTTTTGTTCAGCCAGTTCATACTGACAATGACACTAGTAAATTAAATTGTAAAAAAACAGGGCACCTTTTCTTGTGTAACCAAGACTTCCCCATGTGCCACTTAAAGCTAGATGAGCAGCTTAGGAGCAGCCCTCGCCCACTGCAGTCAGAAGCAGCTTTGTTCTCAGCAGAACTGGGGCGAGAATATTGCCCGCTTGTCAGACAAAAAATACAAGAACACATTTGCCTTTCACCTTGTAACAGCCTGATCTTTTAGTCTGGACATTGCTGAGAGTTTTAGCATGCAAAGACAACTGGGCTTTGTTTATTTATTCATTTACTATAGACTTTTCAATGGTATACATACTTCCCTGAGCACATTAACTATGTCCTGTAAGCTATTAAAGAATGGAATCACTTGGATTCTTCTGGAAATTACATTTTGCTTAAGATGGGCCTCATCAAGAGAGACACCAATCAAGAGGGACGTTGACCATGCTCTGAGTGAGGTCATCTGGCTTCTTCTGAGACGATAAAGCTGTTACAGACCTAGGCAGCCTCCATAAATAGATGGGAGACTGCATACAGGAATAAAGGCGTGCTGCGCAGACATTTATGACCTCAGCTGACTGATTCCCCAGTCTGTAAAAATTATGTTACATGGTGATCATACATCCTCAGAGGAAAACTAAATATTTGAAAAGAAAGCGGTTTACCAAACCTCCCCTCTCCTTCCCCCAGGAATTTATAACAATACAATCCAAACTTGTGTGTAACACAACTTAATGGCATTGGCTCTAAACAAGAGAAAATCCAATACAGAAATAAATAATCGTGAAAAGTATCCCCAGTTAACATTCTCAAACCAAACAATGCATGGAAAGTCTGCAAACACAAAACCAGTTTAAAGTACCTCAGTGGCTTTGAGGTGACAGCTCTTATTCATACAGCTGATAGAGCAGGAAGTTTTCACTAGAGCCTGAAACACAGAATCAGCCTCCTGCAAGGACAGTAAGTCTCTACTGTAAAAAGAACGGAAGCCTTTCCTTCCTTAGTTTACCCCAAATTTCATCAGCCTGCTTGACTACACACTGAATACGCCACAGACAGACAGCGGGAAGTGCAGATAACAAAATTATAATGTTCCTTCTCCCAGTTAACTAAACCCAGCTGCCAGTTTAGATTCATAAGTTTTTACAAATATTTTTATATAAGTGTAATAGAGTTTCAGCATGCTGGAGTTCAGGGATGAACTTTCAAAATTGGATATAGGATGATAACCAGCTACCTCCTTCCCAAATCTAGCCCAGATTCCAGGGATGCTGAATATCCACCGGTGTATCTTATCTGGAAGCAACTGAGTTTTCTTCTAAAATTCTCAAGCTCTCCCAGAAATTCCCAACAAATTCCCAACAAATTCACCAGTCTGACACGAGCACGTTGCAGATGAGGTGTAGAGCTCCGCATGATCCACGCGGGCTCTGCAATATGCCCGCACGGGCATTTTTGCACTGCGCTTCCAAGTGTAGATCTTGAGGGTGCAGCAGGAGCAGCCCCTCAGCCACGAGCGGCTGGAGGCAGCGATGTAGGGAATATCGCCAGTTTTCCGAAGTATTGGCTCGGACACAGTGCCTGAGAACCACGGCCCCAGGCTGCATTGAAAGTAGTATTTAGAGTAGAATAATATTTCAGAAGTCTCAGATGCATGGTACGTTGACCACGCTTTTATTTTCAAAAGGCAGTGGGGAGCGCAAGTGGTATAGATGCAGGAAGGATAAGATACAAGGATCCCAAACTATGAGGAAAACAAAGATGATTGTTTTACAGGCACCACTCCAGTAAATAAATCTATAATACATTACCACGTGGCAATTACTTCTGGGCAGCTACATCTAAAAAATACTCAGCACCATCAGGGCTTTCTACTGAGCAACCCCAAATCCATCTGCTTACCCAGCATAGACTGAAAAAGTTTAGTATTTCACTCCTGTTGCTTCGTATTCAAAGTTATTTGCTCGCTAATAGGGCAGACGTTAATGATGTGGGTGTCTCAGACTGCTGTATCAAAAGGCTTGATGTCTGGGGTGAATCTGTGCAGCTCCATCAAAGGTCACAAAATCACACCAGCTGAAGATGTGCTCCACACTAGAGCCACTGACTGTAAATAAAGCCTAAAAATGGAGTAACTAGGTGCTAACAAGGTAATTAGCCCCGACCAGCCCTGCTTCAGTTGGTAACAATTAGTTTCACTACTGATCTTCAGAAGCCAGGTGGATTTTATCCACAGCACATATAACTTCACATCATGAGCCTCCCACTGAAAGGGGTGGGATTATTTGGGTGTAAAGAACTGTGTAAGGGCAACTAGTACTACAACCTAGTACGACTGGGTGATGATGGGGCAACCATGTTCAGCAAAATCTATGTCTTGCAGGGAACGGGAAAGTTGTTTAAGCAATCTATTATCATTTAAGCCTCAAAAGATTCATATAAACTGCAGAAGAGAGGAATTTATATTTTATATACAAACTGGACTTGTATCCTCTTCCTATCTACATTATTTAACACACCATTTAATACATCTTCTCATGTCAGTGAATGAGGAGAGCAAATATGACAGCTGACCAGATATGCACTGGAATTTTATTAATTTTATCTTAGCTTTCCAGGTTTATCAAAAAGATATACGTATCTCAAATATTTGATCTTTTGTAACCTTTACATAATACTGATACTTTTACGAATCCCTCTGACTTCTATGTACACATAACCAATGAAAAACTACAGCAAGGAAATTAAGAGAAAGTATTTGTGAGAGTTAACACATAAAACTTAACCCGCACCTGAGACACAAATTAGATTCTTCTTAAAACAAAAGTCCAAAATACTGTTCAAAATTTTTTCTGTCCTTTGCTCCCAAATACAAACCTCAAATGACACAATATGCAGAGCTTGGTTTGTACATAGTTTTTGCCCATGAACAACTCCCAACTAAGTAGCACTGGGACCATGCTTGCTCCCAGTTCTGCAGCATGCACTCTAGCAGCGTACAGTCAAGTACATTTTTAAATGTGTCTATGTCTTTATTTATAGGAGTTCAAGAACAGAGATTAATGTGACACGTTTTCAGTGTTTGAAGAACAAAGCCTAAACTTTCTGCTGAGAGGCTATTTCTCATAAAAGATGCCCTGATCCTTGTATTATAAAAAGGTTTTATTTTTCAATAGAAAAGTATGTTTAAAAACACAATTATTTGCAATATAGAGCAATATAAAACTCACCAGTTTTAACTTCATAAAAGTTTAACAAAACATAAATATTGTTTACCACTTACATTCCTATATACAGACCTTGCATTAGATAGATAGATAGATAGATAGGTAGAGAGATAACAGCTCAGAAATGAATGGCACATGACTACAAGAGATGAAAATTCCATGTTACACTGCACAATCACAGGAACACAAGGAGCAGCTTAAAATCCTCAGTCACTGAACTCTGCTTTGTTCTCTTTACAGCTACGTTCCTCTTTTCTCTGCAATAATGCACCAGTTTCCATGGTCGTAGCAGGAAGAAAGTATCTGAAGCTCAGGCACGTTCTCCTCTACCAGAGAGCACAGCTCCCCTTCCCGAAAAACGTGATAGTAGCGCATGAAGGCTTTTGTGTCCAAAGTGACATCAGTTTGGTCCCCAACAGACACTGCTGAATCCAGCGCAGAGTCAGTGGAATCAGTTGTTGAAGTTCTTTTGAAAAACTTGCTGGCATTAGACTTACCAGCTCCATCTTTACTACAACCACAGCTGCAGTCCCTGTCTTCCACTGGGCCATTTATAAATGCAGCTTCTTCACTCCTGCTCTGAGCTACACTTTGGTGTCCTCCATTTAAACATAAATCCTTCAGTGCATCTGTGGCTGGTGACCACTGTGTTTTTTTGAGAGACAGGCTTTCCACGAACACATCATCATCATCTAAACTTTGTTCTTTCAACAGTGCCCCATGGTGACCTAAATCCAAACTGCAGTGTCGCAAATGCTGAATGGGTGCAGTACTGTTTGCCCACTCTCCTTCATTCTTCAGAGGCTTCATTTTGTCAGTTTGCTTTCTCAGGGCTGATTCATCAAGGGATCTGGAGAAAAACCATGAGCGGAAAGATCTTCCTAGAGCACTATAAAATCTATTTTCTTCTTCAGAAATATTCAGGCAGCAGGTTCTCGATAAGCAATGGTCCGTATTGTGGGAATGTTTTGGATCGGTTTCTGGCTGCAGGTTGGTTTGGTAGCTGCAATCGGAGATGACTAGCTGTGCAGGGTGTATGCCTCGGCTTTTTACAGCGTGCACAAACTCACCCTTATCTCCAGATTGATTCGATTCTGAAAAATGCCGTGAGCACAAGGCCTTGTTCCAAGGAACAAATACGTCTTGTTTCTCAAAGCGACGATTCTTTTGTTCCATAGCCCAAACATAAATCATCATCTGGCCTCCGGGTATCAATATCCTTGCCATTTCCTTTATTGCTTTGATTCTTCTCTGTTTGGTTGAGAAATGATGGATCACTGTGAAAAAGGAAAGGCATTATGTATTGAATATTGGTTAAGGCCATAGAATTTTTGTCTTCAACCTATTCTACATGGTTAATTATTTTAGTTGCTGTATCACAAATATCACTCACTGCGAGTCAGCAACAGTGCTGAATGTGTTGGTACCACAGTGCAAGTTTACCCCAGAACGATGTCTTTTACATTTCTGTTCAGTGGATAAAAATAGGCAAATCCCAAAGAAGGAAATTAATTTCATTGCAAAACAGGCATTCAAAATAAACCAGGCATATAAGCTGGAGGTTTCTGTTTCTCTGCATCACCCATAAAAGATCATAGCATGATTAGCTTTCACTTAGATGCCTCACCTTTAGGTGAGTTAGGTAAGATTAAGTTTGACTTTAGATTTGGGACACATTTCAGACTTATCTTACTGGAAACAGAAAATCTTTTCACCATGTAATAAATACAGCAAAAAAGTAATATCAGTAAAAAGATACACGGTATTTTTATAGCAGTGCGCTTTTGAAAGAGCTAGTGAGATATTTAGACAAATATTTTCCGTTGTATTAGTTTTGTAGAAAGGTGTTGCCTTTATAGAATGTTTGTTTTGGAGGAAAAAAGATTAAAAGAAAGTATCTCAGTCTACATCTGCATGTCTGAGAATTATGATTTTTTTGTTACATTATGAAATGCTACTAAAAAAAAGTCAAAGTAAAAAATAAAGCTATTGATCACTATATTTGAATTTTCTTTCCACAATAATTTCCGCATTTTCAAATTTCACTGCAATGTGAAATGAAGTTATGTTTCAAGATTTCCACACCGTTTATATCTTCCTACTCACCTGAAGGAACCAATTTTAACATCCAGAGATTAGCTAAGTCAGCTCTCTCAACTCTCAAATACATGAACTTGTACTGAGATTGATCATGTTGCTCATGTTGTTCTATAAGTCATCAGTACTAGATTTGATTCAAATCCATGACGTAAAGAGAACTGATTCCATAATTTGTTTCAAGTGGACTTGGAGCCAGCCATTTCTACATGCAAAACGTTCAATCTACCCGCATAATAACATACAATAATCGTATATGTTCTTAGTTCTTAGCTGAAGACATCTCCATACCTTCAGAAAAATTAGGTTATCTCTAATATGAGCCACTTGACAGTAGACAATTCTACCTGTAGAAATAGCATTATTTCAACACTGCAGTTATGACAAGCGTGTCCAACTAGCCCTGACTTTATTCAAAACAATGATTAAACTACCAAGGGGAAAAAATGTAGCTTTTTTTACAACCAAGAAAAGCATTCTTGGCAGTTGATATTAATTAGGCCCTCACAAGCAGCTCTAAACACAAGACAGCAAACTCTGAGAAGAGTTCCCCAGTCTATATGGTCAGTATTTGTTTCCAGGTAATCTTGTAAATATTTTCTTGAACTTTTTCTTGAACTTTGACCCAAAAATATAAAATACTATTTCAATTTCTTGAACAAGATGTTCAAGATGGGTAGAAAGGAACGGATATTTTCTCTCATACTGGAGTTAGGCCATATATCACCACAGAACCTCCTACAAAATAATACCAAAACTGACAGAGATAGCATAAGCATGTGAGCTTAGTTCGCCAGAAAGAAGTGCTAATCAACCAACAGAATCTGTGCAAGATCTATCTAAGCAATTTATTTGAGGAGTTAAATATTCTTCATGGTCAAAATTATACAATCACTCTGGTGGTTCTGGAGAAATATAAATCCTATAAACAGAATTATACCAGCAAGGCCAAGAAGAGTATTTGACTATGTACATAAATACTTCATATTCTCTGGAATGGGATGAAAAACACTTTATTTAGAATTAGATGGACACAGGCATACCATGCCTCTATTCAGGAGGGATTAAAATCCATTACTGTTAAATGTACAGAAATGCCACACGAACTTTTAATATTGTCAGGCCTGTAATTGGTATAAACATAGATAAGTACACTATCCTTCAAAGTCAGCTGATCTGATAGCACTGAAATTATGCTACAAGACCTGAAATGTGGATAGGGCTCACTGGTTAACTAGTCAAAACGAAAGCAAAGTAATATAAATACTGCTTGCGTATTAATCACCCTTTCTTTCATCCTACATATATGAAAAATACATTTTAAAATGCATTTCTATCATAATTCAAGTAGTTTGTTGCTTGCCTGAAAGCAAGAGCAGAGCTAAAAATGTAGACTGTCACTGGGTACTCTAACTATTCCTCATCCACCCTTTTCCAGTTTGTACTTCTCAAATTATGAGTAATATTTTTAAAAAGAGAGGTCAGAGGAGTTAAGATACTGAGATGCTTCACTCATTTTAGATAACAGGCACTTGTATGGCTCTAAGTTCTTATTTCATGACCATTCTAAGAGAAATTTTAATTCATAACACATAATAGTTAACATGACTTTCAAGTTCTGCTATAGAGGAAGCAAGTTTTCATTTCAATGTATTTGCTGGTCAAAACAGATCTTAAGGAGGAACCAAGAGTTTATCTTGACCACCTAATCTGTTTAAACTGCAAGAAGCCATGTTTATATTAGTTTTTACTTGTTTAAAATGCATGCTGGAAGGAAATCTCTTCTCCACAGGGTGAACAAGACCACACATAAACAAACAAATGATCCACATACTTCCCTGGTCAACAGTGCCTCTGTGCAATGGAACTACTTTTTAATTTTTTTTTTCATGTTTACTACATTCATTTCAGTAGTATCTGCTGTGATTCTAAGGGGATTGTTTCAAAACAAATTTAACTGAAATGAAGACACATGGAAAGAAAAGGATCCACAAAAATTTGCATTTGCTGTGGGCCAGAATGCATGTGTGTTGTCTTACCTCCAATGGAAATGACTGCATTGAAGCACTGGTCCCTAAAGGGAAGGTTAAGGTTGTCACATACCAGAACTTCATCATCTTTCTTCCTTGCAATCTCTACCAATGGTCCGCAATAATCACAGCCAAGAGTATACACCTGACTGTTGACACTGAGATACTTTCCAGTTCCACAACCTAAAGAAAAGAATACTCTTTACCAGATCAGAAGTCGTATGTTCCAAACACTTGCTATCCCTCACAAAGCAGTGAAGGTGATGGAGGGGCTTTCCTAATTCTAAGGTGTCCTGGAAAACAAAATGAGAGCTTGCTCCTACTAGTCTAACTGCTGCAGGGTTCATTTGGACTGTTTGAAATTCTATGTTCACACCACTAGAAGTGTAAAAGTACCAACATCACCTACAAAAACACTCATTACACAGTAATAGCAAGTTAGGTGCATTTCTTCGGAGACGAAGGGTGGGTGCAGGTGGGAGGAGGAAGGAGTGGTCCTCTGCAGCCACTGTTGCCAATGTTAGAGGGAAAAACCAACCACGTTTCTTCGTACTGAGCCCTTCTACAGCCTGGTATCCTGCTTCCAACAATGAGCATAAATGGGCGCCCAGGAAAGAGTAAGAACAGGGTAAGCATCATGACTCTTTTCCTCAGCACCCTTCCAGCTTCCCACTACCTGCTGTTCAGAGGATTGTCTGAAACCAGTGTGTTTTGTCTTTTTAGTGACCTGCAATAGGTCTCTCTTCCAAACACCCCCCCAGTCTTTGCTAAGCCCCAAGAAATACCTTGCCAGTGGATCCCATTTCTCTCCAAGAAGTTCTAAACTACAGCTGTCACTGACACAAGTCAGAAAGGAAAATTTTAACTTCAGGTACAGACTGAAAAATAACCATGACTCATAAAAATTCCTGCCATGTCACAGGCACGTCCTCTTGCTGTCTTTGTGCCAATGCGTTATAACCCATGTAAATGTAATGAACTGTTCCAGAATGTCTTCCACCTAAAAGTATGTCTTCTCAAGGACTGTGCTGTACTAAATTGAAATCTTTCAGAGTGTTCGTCGATACCGCATGCATGACAGGCACTTTTCAAAATTAGATTAGGAAACATTCACTGCAGTTATGGGTCAGCAGTGAAGAATAATTTCTGAAAGTTGACAGGCAAGCAACGGGCTAGCAGCTTGGCAAAGAGAACCGTCTCAGAATTGGTAATTCAGTTTGAAGGGCTGGAGTTATCTTTAGAAACATCACTGCTTCTTGCAGCGCTGCTGCTCTCGTTGATGTTAATGTGCACCATTATCTAGAGAGACAGCACACGAACTGCTGGAGAACAGCACAACACTTCAGTGGTGAAAAAAGAGCATATTTCTAAAGCAAAAAGCAAGCACTATTCTTTGAAGTGACACTTGAGAGAAATGGAAACGATTAATATTGTTAATGCAGTTCAAGGCATATATGCAATAAAACATGAAGCTCTGCATGTTAGTTAGGAAGGGTAAGTTTTAAAAATAGTATAAAGTATTATTGGTTACTGTGTTTGCAGAAGGAACACATTTAGTCAAACATACATTAATTTAGAAGATTCTGTTGCTTAATATATGGGTTTTGGTGGTGCACTTTTTAATCACAGTGAGTTTTTGGAAGTGTAGGGTCCTCTCTGGTATGAAGCTAAATAGTGACAACACTCCCAATAACTCTAAAAATCTACATTTACAGGAAATTCACTTTTAAATGAGTCATCAGGAGGGTGGATTCTTTCATGAGGGTGTTAACAATGGCCATGCTATTGTCATTTATTTTGATGAATGAACAATAATAAGGCAATTAGACAAATGGTATTTTATTCTGCTACCATTATCATGCTTCATGTAAAGCTAGCAAACAAAAATATTTTAATAAAAGGTAGTGTTAAACAGAAAAGGAAATTACCAATTGAACATCTTTTTGAAAATGTTGGTGCCACTAGGCAACCCTCCTCCCAAAATACACACCAAAACCAAACACGATAGTCAGATTCCTGTAGATCTTATTAAACCTCATAAAAGGAGGTACCTTGTGTGCCTTGATGGGAATATTCTTACTGGCAACTGTAAGCATCTGCCCTTTCTCCAGATGTATCACACGAGCTTAAATTATTTCAGCTGAAACTGTAACAGGGTGATCTGAAGCTTTCAGCAACCACTGTGATGCCTGCCTCAAAGAACTTCAGCTAAGCTTCACATGACTTCTATTGAGGTGACAAAAAATTTTGTCTGAGAAATATCATGTTAAGCTGACTGTTGAATGAGTGTATGCCATAGGGTATTTCCTGAAATTATTAGTGAAAATGGTACAGATATATAAAAGAAGATATATATATATATTCATAATAACAGCAATAAAATATTTTTGGGGGACCGCTCAACAGCAGCAAGAGGACTATATATTATCTTTTGATTATGGCCTGCAACATCTTCAAACAATTTTCTTCTCTTATAGGATAAGGCAGATGCATAATTTGTTGTGTACATTTATTACACTTTGCTGTGGAACAGCATTTTATTAGTCTAAACAGTGAGGAAATCCAATGGTGCAAAAGAGCCTCTGGTTTGCAATGATGTGCTGTGTAGGACTGAAGTCATAACACAACCAAAGCAAACACATCAGGATCTGGAAACCCCTCAAAAGTCTGTAGGTGAAGCAGAAGATCAAGGTATAAATTGAACATGTAAGGAACACAATGCCATAGCAGGAAAATGAGGTTTTGGTGTCCGTATTCAGGATCGTAGGGAGATTCTCAGATCACAACTTCTTTTTTTTAATAGCAAACACATCAGAAGATTTCTCTTAACTTAAAGCCTTGATAGGAGGAGTTTTAAAGCAAATGAAAAGCAATAAATTGAAGACCAGTAGTACTTAAACCAAGCAATCTAAAAAAAAGAGAAATATGAAGTAATTGATCTATTAACGATATTTTTTAAAGGGCCTCCAGGGGAATGACAGACCACTAAGCCTGTGGGGAAACTGGTAGATTAAGGCTTAGCTCAATAAAAATAAGGCAAAAACGGTATTTACTGGCTAGTGGTATACGGCATCTAATATTGGTTTAAAAATAATTTTAAAACAATGTTTAAAACAAATTTAAATGGGTTTTAAAAACAGTTACTGTCAAGGATACATATGAGACATAGAAACTAATAAAGCTTATAGGCAATCTTCCACACCACCTCAAGGAATGGCTTACCTATGTCAGCGACGAGACTGCCAGGTTTTTGCTCCAGCAGAAAGTTTCGAACACGAGGCCATGCTTTGCTCTGCAGATCATTAAAGTAGGCAGCTGTATTTTCATACACACTATGCACGTGCTGCTTTTCTAGCTGGGTAGCCTCATGTTCCATCCTGAAAACATAACGAAGAAAGATTATGTACGACAAAACACGAACGGTTGTACCGTAGACTTTACATTTTATAGACATTCATAATTCAGGACCTTGTAAGTTTACATTCATAAAATCATTACACCCACCTAACAGCTGTCATATTTATAAAATGGTCTTTGTTCAACACATCTGATTTTATTTCACGAAAGTCAAGAAAAAATTTGAATGTATCATCTTGCCTGAGGAGTATTTTAGAACTACCTGTGCCTATTCAATAACATGCACATTCCTAAATGTAGTAAAAGCCTATCTGGTGCAAATAGCAGGAGTGCAGAATGATTAAGAACAAGAAGCTAAGAACAGACTTTCCAGTTGTAGCTAAGGTGAGTAGGCAGGCAAACTCTTAGTATGTTATTTGAAATATAGCCTGGACCTTAAAACCAAAGCCCTTAAATCATGCATAAATTATTCGTGGTTTGTCTACCCTCCAGAAGTGATGAGTTGGTTGAAATTTTTCAGCACCAAAATCATGATTTCCCTGCTCCCACTGCGCTATCTTCATTTCTTAGCAAAGTATTTCAGTTTAATGATTAATTTGAAAAGTAGTACCTTCTTATACGTTCAATATTACTCCTAAGCTCATGTAAAACACAAGTGGATGCAGACACTGAATTCCTTTATACAGAATCTTACATCTTCCTTAAGATTTTCCCTCATCCAAGCACCAACCAGGTCAGACTTTAATATCTGATGGAGGCTGATGAGATTACATTTCAAAGTGTTAAGGCATTCTTCAAACTAATTCGAACTGCCTGTTTATCCAGGAAATATTCCTTCCCATTATTAAAACAGAACTTATTTAATTGTCCAAGTACTCAGCAGAGATTACAGCCTGTTTCCAACATTCTTCCAAGAAAGTAACAATATATTATCAAGATTAAATTATAAAAGTGACTCCTTTGGATGCATTTGAAAATGTCAGAAGCAAAGACTTTACACACACAACAAGTTCTTCTTTTGCTTTCCTTTTCCTTATACATTTTTGAATCATAATAAAAAATGTTTCTTTCTGTCACTTTTACTATTGAAATATGTTATTATGAGAAAAGTAAAATAAAATATTGCATATAATAACAAATAATGTGACCTTTTCAAAACATCTATCCTACAAGCACAATCTTTCTAATTTAGAAAATGGGAGTTGATCCCAGTGACTGCAAAAAAAATAAATTTAAGTACTTCGAGTTAAGTGTGTGTGAGTGCTTACAAGAACAGCATGTTAAGACTTGATCCGTTTCACTGGTTTTATGTATTCTGCTACGAAAAGAGGTCAGGCCAAATTGTCACAATTTTCACAATTATCACAGTCTATTCTGACTGTACTATCTATGAATATCTCTCTCCAAAACATTTATGTTCAATGTTTTCACACCCTGACTTTCTTTTTTTCTGGCATGATCAACGATTTTCTTTTATGATGCATTAGCTCACCTTTTAGTACCTGAAAAAAATACATATTAAAATACTTATGTAATTCAGTAACAGTATAATAAATTCCTAGTAGGCACATTTTCAGTGTCATCTTGAAGAGTGGAATACTGACAGACTGAACAACAGAAGTAGACAGTATTGAAATGATATTATATATGGCAGAAGTTACTCAATCAGAACTTTTCTCACAATGCCATTTCACGTGATGTTGTCAAATAGGATGGGTTAGGTGCAGTAATTTCAAATTATTCCTTAGAGTCAAAATCCCATTCTTTTTTTCTTATTTGACCCTTAAATAAAACAAATTGGATATTTCATGTCTGCAGCTATCTTTCTTCTCTGCCTCAAAACATACTCTATTTTGTTGTTCAACTGCCTAGAAATCCTCTATTTCTAAGTAGAAACTCCAAAGACTAACAATAATTTATTTTCTGCTGTCATCTGATATGGTCCTTGCTCTAGTTTATATTTCATGTTTGGTTACTATGTGGTTCAGTGTTTCCAAGTGTTTTTCTGTTTCCACTTGAAGCTCTTTGTTCAATCTTTGCAGTTCTTAAAAAAAAAAAAGAAGAGTAAGGAGAATGTTTTCCGTCATTCATACTGAATTCCAAATGCTACAGAAATTCCAGTTTATGCCAACTACAGAAGTAACTGTCTGAACTGAAGGTTAAGTTGAATATTTTAAATAAACACAAAAGCCAACTTGGCCTTGACTTAGAAGATGGTAAGAATTTTCCCATTGATACAATGTTATAGTATACTTTTTCTAAAATGTTATTATTGAATTCCAACGTAGGCTGAAATTTGGCTTATTTTTATACTGAGTCACAAGACCATTAAGTTTTTCCTTTAGCTTTCTCATTCACTGGGACTGGTACTCAGTCTTCTGCTGTACGGGACATGCTAGAGACTTCTATGTATTACAACACTGTATTAGAGGTTATTATTTTCAGACACACTTAATAAACATTGTGAAGATAATAATTTGGTTATAATCTTAGAATAACAGTAGTCTACTAAAATACCTATTATTTCATTTAGCGTAATTTTGTAGATAATTAAGTCACATGATGAAATTACACTTGCCAACTTGACTTTCCAGTCAAGATCTGCAACACTATCAGGTTTTACTTTGCAGCACGGCAGGGAAATGTCCTAGCAATAAACCTCTTCATTTCAATGTTTACAAAGTCAAGAAAGCTGCGGAGTCTGACCTGACCTGCAGCTGTACCAGTTTTACAGAAGCCTAATGTCACCGAAAACATCAGAAACTTAGAACTATGTAACTTCACAAGCCAAACTCAACACCTCTAATGCTCTTTATAAACAAAACCAACTTCTATGACTTCTGTGCCTTGGAAGTACCAGACGTTGTCTCTGTTGCAGATGAATTGTAGAAAATGTTCAGCTCATCCAGCTTCTGTAACTTCCAGGATAATTGCCAAGTCTGTTTTGCAAAGGAGGTAATGAAAATCCAAGATGTCCAGAGATCCCACTGCTTCAGCATCTGCTCCAGTTCTCATTTAAGTTACCTGGAAGCTGCCCGGTCAGACAGCAAAGGGGAGGAGAAGCAGAGCAGAAGGTGGTAATTATGGACACATTTTCCGCATGCTCAGTTCTTCATTTCTCGTGCTTATGCTCCTGTCACAGGGGTCACGCAGAGACTTGGTGCAGAGGAGGGACTGTGCAGCAAACTGACACCCAGCTGTCACTCTGCAGCAAGTCTTGACAAGTCCCCAAAACATGCGTGCAGCTTAAGAAATGTCAGGCTCCTGCAAACAAGCCATCTGGAAAACAAATGAAGGGCGGGATTCTCTTCCCTTTCAATATTTCCCGGTTCATCGAGGTTCATTCATGAGAGGCCCTTGTTGCAGCTGATCTACAAATTGAGAAAACTGGATGAAAGTTGTAGTGTTGTTTCTGCTGAACTTGCAGGGAAATGGATCACCCGTCCATCACATGTAGCTGTGGTATACGAACAAAACTATTTGAAAGTAAATAGGTTATAGTCCATTGATTCTTTCCTGCATTGCCACTTTCCCTTTTTGTTAAAAAAAAGGCAAAATACACTAAAATATTACAACTGTCCAGGAGGTAAAAGGAATTGTATGAACATGTGATATCGTATATTTTCATAGCTACGTATTTCACTAAAAGTTCCCTGACTCTGAGGTAATCTAATTTCTTCCTTTTCCGTTAACATTTGTCAACCTTTTAGGTAATTACTTTCCAAGGATACTACTTTAAGGAAAGTCATGTTGCTTGGACATTTTCTATGGCTGCTGAAGTAATACAGTTAACCAGGTGACCTTGAAATGACAACAACAACCAAAAATTAATAACCCCAGTTTCCAACATTTAAAAAAATCAGGATTATTTTGGGGTGGTTGGGGGTATTCAGACTTGTTTGTTTGTTTTTGAAAGAGTCTGACTTGTCATTTTGACTAACTGTATTAAATACCTTAACCTCAAGTGAACAAACAGTTGCTGGCTCCCAGATGCAAGGGGTGCCCTGACATTGATGCGCAGGAGGTAATGTTCAGTCCAAAAACCGCCAAAAAAGCCTATCCAAAGCTTTCCACACCTTCCTGCAGTTCTTCTGGATCCCTTGCAGCCTTCCTCATCTACCTCAAGTTATCCCTCCCATCCACCTAAGATTTTCATATCTTCCTCCATCTACCTTAGCATGTGCTATGTCACCATCACTATTTTAATTTGATGTATAATACTGCAAAGTCTTGACCTGGCTCTTGCTCAGTTCCTCCTTGCCTCTATTTCCAGGCCAGTCACAATACCTGGCACATGTTCCAAACTTTTTGTCAATGGACTCTTGGGAGCACCCTGTGATTTTCACGGTAGTCATCAAATCCTGCATTGCTCCTATTTGTCTTCAAATCAATTGCTCTTGATTAATTTTAGCCACAGACTTGCCTTTTGTCTTCTCTCTTGCAGCTGCCTATATTCT